GCCGGCGCCGCGGCTGAGGAGTTGGACGACCAGACGGTCTCGTTGTCCCTCGCGGTGTCGAGGAGCACGAGGTCTCCTCCGGCGCTGAGCGTGACTACGCCGGAGGACAGGGCGTCGAGCGGGCGGTCGCGGTTCGCGACCCAGACGACGGCGGGCGGGGAGACGGTGAACCATATGCCTAGGAACCACTTGGTGCCGTTGGCGACGGGGAAGAGGCCGAGCTGGAAGACGCCGCAGGGCGAGACCAGCCTCTGTTCGCCGCCGATGGCCCCCTGCCGCGTCAACGTGCTGTCAGCGACGGCGGCCGAGGCAGCAGTGAGAAGCAGCACGGACAGCAATGGGAGGACGAGTCGGCGGTGGCTCTGGTTCATGATGATCTTGCGCCGGCTCAGTATGGAAGTACGGGGAATGTTACCGTGGAGTCGGTGGATTTCTTGCCAAGTTCTATATACCGATGGCTGGCAGATGTACAGCATGTCACGGAATGTTGTCACGGACGGGACGGGTGGTAGCCCGAAAGGAACGAAATTGCCACTGCAAGAGTGCGGGGACAGATCGACGGTAAGCGAGATCGCTGACTCGTCTAGCTAATTTGTTGGCATTTGCCAAGTTGTTTCGTCCATGTCTGCAGATGCAGCAATCAAGAGTTCTTGGTCAGAATTCTTGCTCGACACTGAAGCTTGGTGGCACGTGATTTTGACCATTTCAAACCAGTTCTGGCGTGAAATTATTGATTTCCATACGTTGCTAGCTGGAGTAGTTGTCAGTATCAGTGCGGGGCTTGGTTTGAGCCCAACGTTAGTGCCAAAGCTCGATGATGCCAGTGAAGACGAATCGTAAACCATATTCATGGTTTAAGAGTTAAAGTATTCTCTTACTATTCATGGTCAAGGAATTGGATTTTCTCCACGACAGACTCGCTTTCGTTCGTTAGCAGATTTTTATCCGATCTCCAGTTATCGCAGCAAGCCAAACATGAGACATCAACCTGCTCAAGTAAGGTCCTGGATTCCACCACCTAGTTGAATTGCCAAGATAAAAGTTGACGGAGCTATCAGTGCAGTTTGCCGTGATGATGCAGGCTTATATATGGGTTCCTCCGCACTTGTACTCCAAGGTTTGACAGACCCTGCCACACTTGCCGTGAAGCTCTATCAGAGCAATTCTGCAATTCTAACGCGTCGATCCAAACGGACGTGTGCTTTGTTCGCTTTTCGTCCGTTTCGATCGGTCAGTAGGATGTGCACGTCCGGCTTTTTATTTGGGTCGGCAAGTGCGTCCAACAAGAGACCGACCCATTTATGCCGACGTGGCCGAAACTGACTAATTAAACAGAATTATACGTAAATGGCCGGTCAAACACCGGCGAAAGTCCACTTAAACAACTAGAAAATAAAAAAAACTAATAAATCGCCCACACACTGCCCTAGCAGATCGCCTTGCCCTTGCCCTTGCCGTTGTCGTCCTCGCCGCCGGTGAGGTCAATGAAAACGGGGGAAGGTCCAACCCAACCGAACGCGGCTTGATAAGCCACCAGGACAGCCTCCTCTGGCGTCTGCTGAGGCGGCGGCATAGCGGCGAGGCGGGCGCGCTCCTCCTCCTCCTCAAGCTGTAGAGCCTCCTCGTCACGGCGCAGCAGTTGCTCTCAGACTGCAAAACGGTTGTCTCTGAAATTAACAGTGGAACACTTGGGGTCATTAGTATGGTTGTGAATGAGATTAACGACGCAAAGGAGTTCGAGTCTTGTATAATAGTGAAGCTTTTGAAAAAAACTTCTAAGAGGGAATTAATTAGTGGCATTGGTCTTACCTTAAAGAAGAAAGAAAATGAAATGAAACAAAAACAAAAATAAAGTAAATAAAAAAATAGAAAATCAAAGTTTTTTAAGAAAAAATAAATTAGTGGCATTGGTATTATCCTTTAAGAAAGAAAATAATAATAATAATAATAATAATAATAATAATGGAAAAATTCACACAATTTATGCATAAATTGCTTTTTTATAATATGCAACAATAAGTGTATATAGTGAAGCTTTTGAAAAAAGCTTCTAAGAAGGAATTAATTGGTGGCATTGGTCTTACCTTAAAGAACAAAGAAAATGAAATGAAACAAAAACAAAAATAAAGTAAAGAAAAAAATAGAGAAACAAAGTTTTCTAAGAAAAAATAAATTAGTGACATTGCTATTATCCTTTAATAAAGAAAATAATAATAATAATAATAATAATAATAATAATAATAATAATAATAATAATGAAAAAAATCACTCAATTTGTGCATAAATTGCTTTTTCATAATATGCAACAATAAGTGTACATAGTGAAGCTTTTGAAAAAAACTTCTAAGAAGGAATTAATTGGTGGCATTGGTCTTACCTTAAAGAAGAAAGAAAATGAAATGAAACAAAAACAAAAATAAAGTAAAGAAAAAATAGAAAATCAAAGTTTTCTAAGAAAAAACTAAATTAGTGGCATTGTTATTATCCTTTAAGAAAGAAAATAATAATGATGATGAAAAATTTCACACAATTTATGCATAAATTGCTTTTTTATAATATGCAACAATAAGTGTATATAGTGAAGCTTTTGAAAAAAAACTTCTAAGAAGGAATTAATTGGTGGCATTGGTCTTACCTTAACGAAGAAAGAAAATGAAATGAAATAAAAACAAAAAAAATAAAGAAAAAAATATCAAAGTTTTCTAAGAAAAAAATTAGTGGCATTGGTATTATCCTTTAAGAAAGAAAATAACAATAGTAATGAAAAAATTCACTCAATTTATGCATAAATTGCTTTTTTATAATATGCAACAATAAGTGTACATAGTGAAGCTTTTGGAAAAAACTTCTAAGAAGGAATTAATTAGTGGCATTGGTCTTACCTTAAAGAAGAAAGAAAATGAAATGAAACAAAAACAAAAATAAAGTAAAAAAGAAAATGAAAGTTTTCTAAGAAAAATAAATTAGTGGCATTGGTATTACCCTTTAATAAATAAAATGAAAAATAATAAAATATATGGACAAAACTTTTGCATGATTTATGCACACTTTTTTATAATATGCAAGAATAAACACGTAAAAGTGGGCTTTGTGCAAAAACAATCTAAGAAGGAATTAATTAGTGGCATTGGTGCTACCTTAAAGAAGAAATGAAATGAAATGAAAACTTAAAAATGTTTTTTTAAGAGAGAATGACTAAGGGCCTGTTCTGAAGTCCTCTAGCTCCACACTACACAAACTTCATAGATGAATTTGTCCCGAACAGTTTTGCTACGAGAAGCGGGCTTCTCGAAGTTATGCCCGATGGCAGTGCAAAATCCTGGAGGAGCGTCGGCCCAGCTCCATCGATGCGAAAAGCTGGAGTTGGCTAGTATTACGACCGAAGTGCCACCGCCAAGTCCAAGCCAGCGAACCGGTACGCTCGCAGGAAACATAACGCTCCTCTCGCTCTCCATCGAATCGATACAGGGGCAGCTTTCCTCGATGTCTAGCCCATACTGGGCTGCCTCCAACCGGCCCAAACTGGCGTCCAATAGGCCCACAACCTCCCAGCTAGGTTGCAGCGATAGGAGAAGCTGCACACGACGCCGAATGCTCGGGAATCGCCAGAGGGAGCGAGAAGCTGGCTAGGGAAGCTGGATTTATGAAGTTTTGTGAAGTTGAAGAAGATCAGAACAGGCCCTAAATATCATTGATCTTAACCTTTAAGTAATAAAAGTAATATTGTACACAACTTTGCAGTAAAATTTTGTAATATGCAAAAAATAAACATATAATAATGCAACGTTTACACTGCAGTATAATTTGCACACATATTGTATAGTACTTCCTCTGTAAACTAATATAAGAGCGTTTAGATCACTATTTTAGTATTCTAAACGCTTTTATATTAGTTTACAGAAGGAGTACTTGCTTATATACATTTACGTTCCCCCATCTTGAAAATACCCATATATTAAAAAGGAAAAAATACTAAAAAGAAAAGCAAAATCGGACACAAATAGAAAAAAAAACGAGAGTGAGCAACGGGCTTCAAGCCCAATAAAAATTCAACTGACCGCGAACAAAGACGAGTCAAAAATTCAACACCTTCTAAAAAAGTGTCAAAAATTCAACACGAATCTTGACAAAAGTATCAATGGTCAGAAAAGACTCGTCAGAAAGTTGGCTTGCCCAAATTTAAAAATCAGGCAATTTACATATAGCTAAAATGAAGCATTCTTTTCTCAGTTACAAATTTTTAGGAAAAGGCCTAGATGTTGCAAGATCAAGGAGCATTACTGAGCCGAGCACATGCCGGACGATGGGCTTGTCGCTGTGATCTTGGGCAGCGCTTTGCTGACACTATCTACAGGAGTGGCCCGGCACTGACACGGAGCACGACTCCATCGAAATAACGACCGGGAATGGAACAGAAAGATCCAAATGCTTAACTTTATTTGATCCCCGATCAGCCGTATTACACGACCTCAGCTGCAAATGTTAGGTCTTTTATAATGGAAGATGCTTAGAAAAAGTGCTTAGAGAAATAAACCGGATGTTTCTTAAGCACCGGTGATTATTTGTCCAGAATAGACGTTTAATTAAGCGTCTTTCCCATAGAATTAGGCACCGATGCTTCAGAAAAATCCGATTTATTTTTTAAACATCTCTCTAAGGCCTTGTACAATGAGAGGTGCTTAGGGAAGGTGCTTACAAAAATAAATCAAACTTTTCTTAAGCACCGGTGCTTATTTGTACAGGATAAACGCTTAACTAAGCGTCTCTTCTGTAGAAATAGGCACCGGTGCTTCAAAAAATCTCGGTTTATTTTTCTAAGCACCCCTCTAAGCATTTGTCATTGTACAAGGCCTAAGCACCCTTACACGCCCCGCTCGACAACGATTCATCAACATACAAACGCACACACGAAATGAGATGAACCAGGAAGAAAAACACACGCTCGGCCGGCGCGCCATCGCCACCGCCCTCCGCGTCCGTAATAATGTTGTATCGTATGGTTACTTGCCGACGATGAGGGAGACGATCGCGTCCTTGAAGTGGCCGTGCGCGCTGCCGGCGACGGCGTCCTCGAGCTTGGCCCCGAACTGCTCCTGGTAGGCCGCCCGGATGGCGTCCATGTCCACGTCCGACCGCGTCACCGCCACCCGCGCCAGGGCCTCCTTGCCGTGGTGGTCCGCGCCCTCCCTCAGCGCCGCCGCCATCACCTGGCTGAAGTACCTCTCCGGCGTCGCCAGGCACCGCACGGCCTCCCTCAGAGCCTCCTCGCTTCCCAGATCCTCCTGGATGTGCTTGCCGTGCAGCTCCTTGTAGTACTTGAAGGTCTGGACGAGGTGCGGCTTGCTCCTGGTGGTGAGGATCCTGACCACCTCCTCGTTCTCCACCAGCCTGCCGCCGGCGGCGCCCTTCACCGCCGCGCCCAGCGCCTTGGCCTCCGCCTTGGCTGTGTCGTCGCTCACCTTGGGCCCTTCGTACCGGTACGCGCTCACCAGCCCCACCAGCAGCTGCACATCCACAAACACGTACATCAGACTCCACCTCCTCCATGGCCATGGCTCTCAAGAAGAAAGAAAGAAAGAAAGAGAGAGAGAGAGAGCTTACGCTGCAGTAGGGCTTGTCCTTGGCGCGGTAGGCGACGTCCTCCTCGAGGGAGTGGTGGAAGAGCGCCATGTAGGCCTTGCGCGCGCCGAGGAGCTCCTCGGCGGAGCGGGTGCAGGCGACCTCCACGAGGATGGCGGCCGGGTGGGCCTGGTGGAGGACGTGGTGCGCGAGGCGGGCGTCGCGCTCCCACGGGTGCATCGCCCACAGCACCATGAGGTTCTTGAAGCGGGAGAACTCGGCGGCCAGGCGCAGCATGTACTCGTCCTCGCACCGCTCGATCACGCCCTGCTCCTTGAACAGCCCCGGGAAGCTCCTCCGGAACCCGGACCGCTTCTCCGGCTGCCTCCGCCAGTTCGCCAGCGCCGCCACCATCGTCGGCTCGTCCACGCCCAGGCCTCCCAGACCTTCATCGTCATAGATTTCAATTAATCATAACGAAAATCCATACGGATCAACTCTAAGGAATGATCACACAAACACAGTGGTACGAGTATAAACGATGAACAATGTCGTAGGAGTAAACGATTATGGATGCAAACCTGAGAAGGCCTTGGTGAGCGCCTGAACTTCGTCGGCCATTGTTGCCCTGACAAAAATGCTGGCCAAAGATTTGAGGAGACGGAGGCGATGGCTGCACGGGTCGCTCGCTGAATTCGCTGTGTGCTCTGCCGCTCCTGCTGGACGATCTTTATACTCGGAGACGGTGTGTTTGGGAAGGCGATTATGGGCAGCGCTGGTATAATTTTCACAGCTAATGGAAGAAAAGGGTCGTCAATGGTTTACACATGGGTACCACATCCGCGTATGCACACCGATCCCATCTAATTAATGAAGTGACAACCCACGACGCGATGGGTGGGTGTGCATAGCAGTATTTGCATCGTGCAACACGGGGTGATTATGGACGACGACCGCTATAATTGTCAGCTGTACTATGCCCTTGTCACGCTGCGGTCACATCAGATATAATTTCTTCGGGTACATTTTTTCTGGAATAGAATGGAAGAGTGAAGTGAAAGTTACGAACAAGGAGCTGTGTTTTTTTTTTCCAAAAAGAAGGGTCTCCCCGAGCCTTGGCATCAAGCGATGCACACAATCATTTTATTAGAAATAGAGCAATTAACTATGAATCTCAACTCAGTGTCATCAAAACAAAATGCCACAATCGGCAAACATAAGGCACGATGCCTAAACACATATCCTATTATCTTCCAGCGGTTGCACCCAAACGCCATATGCTTCCTAACTTCCGCATGGCTGAATAATGACCACATATGGATACCTCCAGACATCCGAAAGATAACTTACAGTGACTTTGATGTCGCGAAGCTTGGCTGCCCACATGACACGCCCCATCTCCAAGTCGTCTGCATCCGGCTGTGCTTAGATCCGTCGACTCACCCGCCTGTCGAATGACCTCGGGTCCGGAATCGCGTTGAAGACCACCACGTCGGCCTTGGGGGCCTGTCGAGTAGAGGGTCGTCCACTTGACAGAATCTCGACCAACGCCGCACAAGCTGTCGTCGGAGACACGTCACGCCTAGACGTCTCCCCGGATGCAGGCCTATGCCAGAGGGAAAAAAAACTTGTATAGTTAAGCCATTTGACCTATTCAGGTGTGGGAAAAACAGAGAGAGCAAAATTGCAATGAGACATGCCATGTGTACTTGGCAACTCAGACCCACATGATAGATTGCTAAATGGGGTAAAATTGATGATTTTTTCGCTAAATGCGGTAAAAATGGACGAGAAAATGACTAAATGGAGTAAAAGGTGGCAAAACTTTCACTAAATGGGTAATCTGGATTAAAGAAAACTGCTAAATAAATTAATTTCCATCAAATATATCAAAGTAAGGGTTAAAACTTAAAAATGGAATTAACTCAAAATTAATAAAATCAGTAAATGCTTCTCTAACAAACTAGTAATTACCTACACCTTGAACTACAATACAACACGCCATTGCAAGTGCAGACGGCCCTTGTTGAGGGAAATGTAATCGTGTGATCAACTTAGGATTTGAGGAAGAGTTTAAATAATGTTATTATTGCAAAAAAGAAAATTGATGCCAGAAGGATTCAAATAGATCAGCTAACATTTCCAGCAGATGAGCAATAACAAGAGGTAAAATCAATTGAGAAACTTCTTCTAGGAGATCGGCAGCACGTGATGAAGGTCCCAAGTAAGTCGTCATGGTCCACGAAAATGGAAGAACACATCACATGAACTGATCAATTTGCCTCCAAATGGTTGCACCAACTCAAATCACAGGCCCCTTTAATATTTTTGATCCTCATCCGCCACATCAACTGCTGCATCCGCGACTGTTCTTCCGGAGTGAAGACATGGAGTTTGTCTCCTGTTGTTTTTTTTTAGAAAAGGAGGATGACCCCCGGCCTCTGCATCTAGGTGATGCATACGGCCACTTTATTAATTATTCTCACAAGACCTTACAAAGTAATACAACAGTAAGACTAAAGCCACCGTCTAAGCCACTCTATTCAGTTGATGAAGGGACGCAGATAGTCTGGGCCTAATACCAAACAAGCATCGCAGCCAAACCTAACATCTAAGACCTGAGATCCCATCCAGGACGCCTGCCGGGCATGGGTCTCACCGGTCCGGCGTGCACTCAGAGACCGCCGCCACCAACTTCCACCGCTCCATCTTCAGAACTGTACTAATGCATCAACCTTGCTCGGTCCAGCTATCGATGTCTCCTGCTGTTAGCTCCATCTAGAAAATCTTGTTGGAAAAAACTTGTAATAAGTGTTTCACTATGCTTCCGGTTTACTTTGGCTATGCCCGAGCGCATAAATCTGCCTATACTGAATGTGATCTCATCGCAATGGGACGGAATCTGGGGTGCTGCCCCTTTCTTTCAAACAAAAAATTTGTGCTCATAATGCATTCAGAATTCTCATTTCAAATTGATGATCACAGTGGCAATGAAAACCCTACAGTCCACGGTGTCATCCTTATCGTCGCCACCAACATCGTCATTATTTTCCTCCAATCATGCAAGCAAGGTTGGTTTATGTCATATTCAATTTAAGGATGTTCCTGAGCACAACTTCTATTTCAAGTTTCTGCCACTAGGTCACGTACCAGCAAACCGGACATCATCTAGCTCGTTGTCTTTGCTTTCGCTCTAACAAATCAATCGGAGGTTCGCACTATTCCACGCAACCTAGTTAGCTGGAAAATTAAGGGATTAGAGAAATGATTGAGGAAACATTTCTCACTCACCAGTTTAATGCAGCTTCCTAAGTTCACACCACCGTCGTCCATGTCTAACTAACAGTGTGAAGATGTGACAAGCGATTTTTTCAGTTGAAACTTGTGGCACCAACATTTAGACGATGTGAAAAACATGTACTGTCAAGGCCATGTATATATCCTAACATCTAGATACAACTAACGTGGTCCAAAATAACTAATTATTATCGTCCCAGTATGTTGGGCCACATTCTTCAATCATACAGCAAGCCTATTATTATGCTTGAGGAAACTGGGCGCATGGTGAAGGACAAGATCATTAGTGACTTGCACACATCCAAATCACCTACTATGATATTGGAGATTCAGATATGGTCGCTGATTTGTTTGCATAAGCAGCCATTGGGCATTTGCCACGGTTGTCCATGTATCTTTCGTCAAAGGCCTGGTTAATTATGCGGTTGGTTGGCAACCAAAATCGACTCTTCGCAGCGTTGATGTTTAAAAACCATTGGTCAGATGAGTGTGATCCACGAGAAGACTTGTTTTCTCTAGTATCCTACAGTCAGCTCAACCCTGCCAACTGTACTTGAGTTTTTCTTTTGTGAAACATAAGTAGCTCTGTCTGCACAGTTGTTCTGATGCAACTTAATTTGTTTCCCTCTTATCACAAGCAGCTTTCCATTGAAAGTAATAGTTTAACAAAGTAAGCAAAGCGTGGGTTTCACAGAGAAAGCAAAAAAGGCTTTGAAATGCTTTGCGAAATGTGGCATGTTCTCCGCTTTCGAACCGGGCGCATGGAACGTGCGGGCATGTCCTCCGTTTTTTTGAAAGGCTCTTCAGTTTATCTTGGAGCCCATGACGCTTCTCGTTCTAAATGAACGGCTAAAGCAGTAAAGCGTGAGCAAATTATACATCTTTGCATGGTGGAAACAGTGTGGGTTTGGAGATTTGTTTGGAGCTCTCTTTTGGAAGGAAACCTTACCGGTTAAGCAATGCCCATGTGTTCCCAAGATTCTTCTTCCAGCATGAGAATGTCTGTTTTTTATCATTGTTGCTGCTAAACTCCTGTGTTGTTGCACATGCTGATCTTCCCAAATAGTGGTGGGTGAGTGGGAGGAACAGCTGGTTTGAAGCTGCAGAAGGAATAGAGAGTGGAGAGGAGAAATAAATTCATGAAGGCGCCTGTAGCTCAGTGGATAGAGCGTCCGTTTCCTAAGCGGAAAGTCGTAGGTTCGACCCCTACCTGGCGCGTTCGCCTACTGTTTTTTTTTGTCTCTTTTCTTTTGTGCTTAGTTGGTGCACTGTTTTTGAAGCGATTTTTTTTTTATTTCCCAAGAAGAGGAGAGTAGAAGAGATGGTATGAACAAGTATGAAACATGTAAAAAAAATGGTGTGTAAATGGTACTCCTACTAATTTTCTTTAACGCTCAGGTTCCAGTAAGAAGATGGTGAGGACAAGTCTGAAAACACCCCAAGATCTGAATAAGATACTAGATTACAGTACAGCATGAGCAAGTCTGAAAATAGATGAGGCAAGCCTTAACTTAAGAATTATTACAACGTGTGCTATAAGGCGGAAAAGGGA